GTGGACGCTGCGAACCACACTGGCAGCGAGGGGAGGAGTGTGTGTGTCAAGGCCACCAGAGTTGGGGGGAGACCAGGAGTCCCGGCCGCAGCACAGTGAAAACCCTAAGGATTTCCCTCGCCCTCTCCCTGGGAGAACTGTCCTCAAACCCACGTGGTCACGGAATGGGGGTGGCTTGATTTCTTTGGGCCCCGAGCTCAGAGCAGCGGCCGCGACCCCACAGCATTCAAAGGGCACGAACGGCTGGACGGACTGAGGGAGGGGGCGGTCAGGGCAGACACGGAACCACAGGCCACTGCACGGGGGAGCGAGCGAGTCCCCGACGGGTGACAAGGAGGGCCGACGGACAGACGCTTTCGCGTGCCCACCTTGCAGACGCACACGGAGGGAAGGAGTTCACAGCTTAGAGGAAGCAGCACACTTATTGCACTCGGACATTTTATTTTGGGTTCACTGTGGTTTCCTTCCCACCCTCGTGTCCACGTCCTCTCCCCTGCCCTTTTGGTCCCTTTGTCTTGACACTGGGGCCACATGGCTTACCTACGCGAGTCCCCAGTCTCCGTCCATGGGAGGACGCACACGGCACTAAAACACACGGGTTCGGGAGGGCGGTGCGCACGAATACAACACAAACTTCTCGGAACGACACCGGGCTAAGCAGCACTCCCTTGGGGCCGGACAGGAGCTGCTGGGCCGAATGGCCACTGGCCATCTGTCTGGGGCTGTGTGCCAGGGCCAGGAGCCGCTGAGCCCCGGCACAGAGATATTGCTGATACTAACATTAAAACCAACTTCAGTTCCTTTGTTTTTAAAAAGTACTTCAATCTAGAATATTCTCTTAAAAAAAAAACGCATCACAAACTGGACACTGGCTGTGTTCTCATGCACAATTGCTGCTATCCTTAGAAGAGTCAAAACTGCCGGATTTAGCAATGAATAAAAAACTACATTCACAGGTGAAATTGTTGCTGACATTTAAAAAAGACGTACTTTCCAGAGGGGGGCGGGGGTCCGGGTCCCTCTGTGCTTTGAGGTGAAGCACGGTTTCCGTCATCTGAGACTTCAGGAGGTCGGCTGCCCGTCTCGTCGATTCAGGGCTCAACTGCCAGGCGGCAGCAAAGTTTGCCGGTAGCAGCACAGCTGACTGTCTAAGGGCCGGATGCTTCCCATGACCCCCAGGCAGGTAAGAGCTGCTCCTGCAACCCAGCCGGAAGGCGCCGGGGTGTCTGGCAGCAGATGAGACTGTAGCCAACTCACAACAGCCCGTCCTGCTCCAATGAAGTTCATCCAGGAACAGGCGGGCTAGCGGCGCCCAGGACACAGAAACACGCTGGTCCTGCCGCTTTACTCAGTGACTGCGGGAAACAGCTGTCAGAGGCTTCTCTTAAAAGTCCCATGCTTTGAGGGACCCACAGGAGTAGAAAAGTTTCACTAGAAATGTCACTGACCTACAATTTCAACCTCGTTGCTCTATGTGATAAATATAACTGACTCCATGAGGGATTGTGTGCTTTAAAAAAATAGTTTTGTTCACTGAAAATTTACCTGTTTTCTCATTTTTTTTTAAAATGTGTGGGTTCTTCTTCTTCTTGGCTATAAACCCTTAGAACATTGACCTCGCGGTCTCAACTGCCCCCAAAGACCAGCAGAGGGGCCGAGAGCGACTCCTCCCCCCCGCCGCGGCTGCCCCCTGAAGTGTCAGCTGTTTTATTGCATGACGAAGGCACGGTAAGATCATTTGGCAAATTGTCAAGGTATTTTTTCCAGCGCCTTAGCCACACCACGGCAATGAAGGAGCTGCTGCCTAGACTCAGAACATCATCATGTTTGCATTGGGAACCTCATGAATGATGCCCCGTTCCCAGGCGTGGCGCTGCTCACACCGACCAGAGGATCTCATGGGTTGGGAGACCCGCCTCGTGGCCCGACAGTTCCCCGGTGACAAAGAGGTGGCGAGCGGGCTACGAAGGAGGACTGCCTTGTCAAGTCCATTGGAAAGTAGAATGTCACTGTGACTTAGCGACACGGTCCCCAGACTCCAGGAACTCCACGAAGGTGACAAGACTGAAGGCGAACTCCACGCGGACAGCGGCACCTCGTTCCAACCGGGGGGGGGGGGGTTGTCTCCTGAACCCTGTTTCTGCGGCCTGATGGCTGATGTGAGCGCTCGGATCCCAGCCCACACTGTCCCCGATTCAGAGAGGAACCTCGTTCTGCGGAGGTAGTTTTGGGGAGGGTCAGCTGAACCCTGTGGTGTGGTGGCGGAGAGGCGCAGGGACCGGCCACGCTGCTTGGTGATGACGAGAGGGTCAACATGAGTGCGGAGCGGAGTCTGCATGAACCAGAGCCTCGGACGGGACCACAAAGCTTCAGGCTGGAGACAGGATGGTTTCTCTGGGCCCAGCAGAGCTCCCAGCCTGGGAGACAGACATCCCGAGGACAGTGGTTCGAGTGGGGCTCTGCGGGTCTGGAGTCAGGCCACCTATGTGAGCGTCCACCCCATCGCCACCAGGACTGGGCACGGGGACATGCAGGAACTGGATCTGACAGCAGGACCATCTCCCTGGCTGTGCTACTCACCAGTCTCCTGTCTACGCTCTGATCTGGTCGACAGTATTTTGGGGGCTGAAGTCGAGCCCCCAAATTCTCGCTGAACAACAAAAAAGTCCGCCAGGAACCATCACATTTAAAAGCCGTTCTTTACGGCCCTCTCACAGCCAGTCAGTGGCCTGGCCTCCTCGTTCTTGGCCCCTTCCTAGGGACCCGGCGCGGCCCGGGTGCCGGGGGGTCTGTGACGGGCCCCACTCCGGCTTCCCGGGCGCCCTAAAGTGCGTCACACCGACCAGGAGCGCCCCCTCATCCTTCCCAGGGAGCTCCCGAGTCTACCTGCGATCCAAGTATCAAAAAATAAAGTGAGACTCAGAGGAAACCCTCTCACATCACATGTGCTCTAGAACAGAAATTTTGACGGCATAAAGGGTAAAGTTAATTTTTAATTAGAACAAATAAACAAAAAATGGTTTTGGCCATACCCGACTGTGCTCAGGATTTATTCCTGATTCCTTGCTAAGGAATCACTCCTAGCGGGCCTTGGGGGATGATATGGGGGGAAGGGGGGGGCGGGACCAGGGATCCAACCCAGGGCAGCTGTGTGCAAGGCAAGTTCCTTCCCTGCTCTCCTCTCTCTGGCCCAGTTTCCTGTTTTTTTTCCTAAGGGCTCGATGAAAAAACTCAGTGATGCCCCGAAGCTGGATTCACTGACCACTTTCGCCAGTCAGGAAGTTTCTTGAGCCCCTGCCTTTGGTCTGAGCCCCCACCCTGGGCAGGGCAAGCTTGTGCTTAAGGCCAGCTCTCTCTCCATGTTAAAAGCATCGCTGCAACTCACTTCCAAGGACCAATGTTCCCAAAACCGTGTTTAAAGGAGGGACAGCACCATGCTCTGTCAGTGCGCAGAAACCAGTCCCCAAACCTGTGGTGTCTAAGTCTGCTGCTGAGACCAGAGGGGCACGGGCCTTCTGCTTGTCACCGCTGACTGGGAATCGCTTCCGTTTCCCTGCGGGCACCGTCTCAGCAGACCTTCCTCTGAGGACAGTGTGTGAGCAAAAGTCATCTAATGGCAGTGAGCTTTAGTAGACTAAAAAAGAGACAGAGGGCAAACATTTTCCAGAAAACACACAATTTGCAGTAACAATGTTCAGTTCTCTGATTTATCTGATAGACCCTCCCTTATTTTCTTTCAGAGCCTGGTCGGGCTGATACCTTCGATTTGCTTTACATTCCTAAACTCTGAGGAGAGATTCCAGAATGTGTCTGATAAGGGAGGGATCTGCCAGTACACACCCAGAGTCACAGATTTCCCCCCTCCCCAAATGAGCTTTAGCTTAATACCGTAGCAGCTTTTTCCGACACAAAGGAAAAAAGTAGGACCACACCAACTTCCCTTCGTGCCAGGACACCTAAAATCATTCTATTTTGTGCCTGGGAACTTGACTGCCAAATTATCCAACCTTTATTTTGTGCCTGGGAACTTGACTGCCAAATTATCCAACCTTTTGAGGACCAGGCTTGGGGGAAAAAGGAAGGAGGAGAATGCATGGAGACACCACCATTTTTATTTTAGGTTGCATATTCTAGATGAGACTAGAAAGAAGATGCAGAACGTAGAGTCGGAGTGCAGTGGGAAGAAACAGTGAGATATTAGCGAAGATGTTAGTCGTGGATCCAGCAAGTACCATGAACTTCAAAATGACAAAGACCTGTCATTATGCTACGACTCCCCATGATTCCGATAGAGAAAAAGGATCACCTTTCTTTAAGTTGCTCGTATAACAAAAATACAATTTTCCAGGATATAGAATTCTGGTGGGAAGGCTTATTTTATTCCAATTCAATTTGGTCTGAAAGTTATTTAATAAAAATATAATAGAAGAAACTTGGAAATTAAAATGTGTACCTTACATTGAAGTTACATAAATGTGTCACATTCAAAACCGTTATGAAGCGTAGTTTGGTAGGCTTTTGATTAGATCTTGCCCAGGCACGGGGGAGCCCTGGACAGAGCAGCCACATCGGTACTTGGTAACTGGAAGAGCTTAGAGGAAGATATCCACTGTGTTTCCTGAGAACTTGCTAGATGTGGAGAACCCCGGTGCGTGTCTCCATTGCGGGGCCCAGTGAGAAGGGAAGGCCTGTGCCTGCACAGCCCAGCCTACCAGGAAACCAAAGGCCGACACCCAGGAGGTCCGGAAAAAGATGCAGCATCCCCTTCGCCTCGGCATGTACGACCCCTGCCCTCCTCGCCCCTTGGGCCCCGTATGCGATGCCTGCGCTCACTTCTGTTGCGTTTGGGTACCAGTGGTCCAGGCCCCGCGAGGCCCACCCGCGCGGCACGGGCATGCTGCATTTTTGTTCCTTCCCTTGGAAATGAATGGAGGGGAGAGCGCTCCACCACGAAACCCCAGAACAGGAAAGAGAACGGGGCCTGGGGATCACGCCGCCCCGCCTCACCGGCTGAGCAGCCCCGGGCGGGCGTGTGGTTAGGGGCCAGGCACCTGGCGGCCTTCCCAGAGCCAAGTCCCAAGCGGTAGCAGCACTTTCGGTCCATCAGGCCTGACCGTCAAAAGGTCAGCGCTTAGGCTCTCTCCTCTCTCTTCCGGGGAGCGGGCAGACTGGTATGCACGTGGTATTTGTGTCGAAGAAGAAACACTGGCAGCAGAGGATTCTGGTCCTAAAACATTCGTCCCTCTTTCGATGGATGGGAAATTCCACTCTGTTCCATACCAGCTATGCATTGAAAATTCTTTATCTTTAAAAAAAGACTGGAGGAAGAGAACTGTGTCTGATGTTAACAAACTGTACGAACACAAGACTTAAGAAATAAAGAGTAGATGCTGCCCGGTGGTGTGGCTACTTGAAGGCTGCAAATTCTCCTGTGGAGGGAGGACAAGAGCTCGTTTTAAAAAAAAGCGTATGACCTCAAACAATCCAGAGACAGACCCCTCACTGCAAGGTGATTTCCTGCCACACCGGGTGTCTTACAGACCCAGCAATACGCGAGCACAAATGCCCGATGCTCAGGCAGGATGCCAGCTCTACAGTCTGGAGAGGGCCAGCCGGCGGCACGGGGGCTAGGGGCGCACAGTTCCCAGGCGCTCGCACACGCCAGGGTTCCCACCAAGCTGCCAGCAGTCCACAATTCCCCCTGAACCTGATATATCAACTTATTTTTATTATTAGAAGGCCTCCTGGAGGGGAAAAGCAGCAGAAATTATCCTGAGGGCAAAATGCTTTGTCCACATTACGTAGCTGACAAACCCAGGTCTTCTATTTTCGAATTAATTTTACCTTGTAAATGACTTTTAAAAAATCAAATGAGAGATGCATGTTACCGAGTATTATTGCTAACACAGGGACTGTGGGGATGGGAGAGGTGGGGGACCGTGTGTGGTGCTGGGGACAGAACGGGGGTTGTTCACACGCAAGCAAACACTTTGCCTGTGCCAACACACTGGGAATTCTTTAACCCATCAAATTCTTTCGAGGCATTCCACTCTTTTAAGCGTATTTAATTGTCTGTTGTGTGCCGAAACTTTTCATCTACCCTCCTGTTAAGTCTAGGGGTCACTTTCTCTTAACTGTAAATAGATTTTTTTTTGGGGGGGGGTCACACCTGGTGATACTCAGGGCTTCTGGCACTGCACTCAAATGCTCCGGATGGTACTGGGGGAACATGTGGGTTAATGGGATTGAACCCAGTGAGGCTGTGTGCCGGGCACACCCTACCCACTCTACTGCTGCTCAGCCCATATTGGTGACTTAGTAGTAGTGATTGGAATTTAGTTAGTTAGTTTTAACATAATTTTGTTTTGGGGCACATCCAGTGGTGTTTAGGGCTTACTCTTGACTGTGCTCAGGGATCACTCCTGGTGGGGCCCAGGAGACCATATATGGTACCTGGGTTGAACCGGGTCAGCTGTGCAGAAGGCAAGCCACCCAACCTACTGTACTCCAGGCCCCTTTTTAACAGTAGTGGTTTAGAATGGAGATCCCAAAAATCACATATGAATACACGTCTAAAGTACTCTGGGGACACCTGGATTTTCTGATCATCATTAAATTCCATCTAGTGAATATTGGTCACTAGTGAATGTTGGCATGCCAAACAAACGAGCGAATGGAGCTGGTGTTTAGAGTTGAGTAAACTGGCCCAAGATCACACAGGAAAAAAAAATCACAGAACTGTAATGCAAACCCAGAGAACACCAACGTCCATGGGTCTAAATAATCATACGACTGAAATTCAAACATGAAACTTTTGTAATTGTAGTACATGGTGATTCAATTAAAAAAAAATCAACAAGTCCCTAAACCACTTTCAGTGACTCACAACTAGTCTTCCTGCTCAGAATTGGGATTCAGAATAGGAAGCGATAAATGTTATTCTGCACACAAACCCGTCCCATCTCGAGGACAGTCACCCGAATCAGACCAAAGCCAGTCTCCTTGTGTGATTTTAGAGTTCCTGAAGGATGAAGGCTGTTCGGCACAGACACACTGCACTTCTTTAGGCAGTGCCGGGGGGCTGACCTCCGGGCCTCACCCACGCAGGGCAGGAGTCCCTCTCTCACGGACATGTGCTCCAGGCCCCACTGTGGACGTTTGGGGTTTGATTTTGGGAGATGCCCAGTGCTGAGGGACCACGTGGAGTGGACTGAGCCCGGGGCACACACTCAGCTCTGAGCCTTTGAGCCCCTGGACTGGACTTCTCAAACTCAAAGACAAGGGAAAGATGATCAAGGGAAAGATGAGAAACTTAGTAAAATAAAAATGTTTAGAAATGCTCAGTAATTCTTTTTTTGGGTGCGTTTGTATGTGAGGACTTTGGGCCACACTCAGGGCTTCCTCCTGGCCAAGTTTGGAAGACCATATGCAGAGGCTGAGGAATAAACCAGGGCCAGCTGTGTGCAAGGCAAGTTTCCTAGCCCTTAGATTATCTCTCTGGCCCCTAAAATGCACCATCTTAAAGACAATGATTTAAATTATTGGCTTAGTATTTAAATGCTAGCAAGCACAACACTGCAATATCTTAAAAGAAACTTAAAGCATTTGCTTAAATGGTGAAACTACTTAAAATCAGGAATATAAATTTTGGAGCTGGAGAGCGGTAGAGGAAGGTTCAGGAACTTGTCTTGCATGAAGCCAACTCTGGTTTGGTCCCTGGCACTAGACATGGTCCCTGACACAGAAACAGGAGTACGTCCAAAGCAGAGTTGGGTAGGGTCCCTAAAGCGAAAATATCAAAAAGACCCCAAAAAACAAAACCTAACAACAAAAACACAGATTCATTTCATTACTGACTAATGAAATATGAAAAACGTTCCACTGGAGCTACAGAGACAGTGTGGATGGTTAAGGCGCTGGCCTCACATGTGACTGACCCTGGTTCAATCCTGGCACCACATAAGGTCCAAGTACTACTCGATGACACTGAGCATAGAGCCAGGACTAAACCCAAAGCACCTCTGGATGTGGCCTCAAAGATGTGCTCCTGGGGCTGGAGCAATAGCACAGCGGGTAGGGCATTTGCCTTGTACGCAGCCGACCTGGGTTCGATTCCTGGCATCCCATATGGTTCCCTGAGCACCGCCAGGAGTAATTCCTGAATGCATGAGCCAGGAGTAACCCCTGTGTATCACTGGGTGTGACCAAAAAAATAAAAAGATGTGTTCCCCCACTCCCCAATCTTCCCACCCCAATACACAAAATGTAAAACCAATTTGATGAAAGACTGACTCCTAGGAAAGAAATAAAAAGGAAATTATTTGAAAGTACAGGTTTTAGGAAGGAAACAGCCAAGAGAGGATAGGTCGGAGAGTGCTTGCCTTGCCTTGCATGCGCCAACCTGGGTTCAAGCCCTGGCACCCAGATGGCTCCCTGAGCACTGTCAGAAATCTCCAGTTGTGGCCCCCAAACCACACCCATACTCACACCCAATCACTAGGCATAAAACAAGTAAAAATACAGTAGGAAATTTCCATTACCATTATCACTATCCTGCAAACTCTTCTTCTGTGGATCCACATAATCTAAAAACATCTTGGCTGTTCTATTTATTTTTGCTTGGGGGCCATTCTGGGTGGTGCTCAGAGTTTACTCCTGGCTGTGCTCAGGAATCACTCCTGGAGGGGCTTGGGAAGCAATATGGGGTACCGGGGATTGAACCCGGGTCATGCAAGGTAAGCTTTCTACCCCCTGTACTATTGCTCCAGCCCCTGCCCTATTTTAATTTTATTTTTTTATATTATTATTATTGTTTGCTCTGCACTTAGGAATTACTCCTGGCAGTGCTCGGGGGACCATCTGGGATGCTGGGAGTCGAACCCGGGTTGGCCGCGTGCAAGGCAAACGCCCTACCCGCTGTGCTATTGCTCCAGCCCCACCACCCGCTCTGTTTTTAATGTCCCACCACTATCATCATTTCCAGAGGTTCCAAACTGAGAAGACTCTGCATGTGGCCAGGGGGATGGCGCACGCGTCCAGCAGCAGCCTGAGAGCTCCAGATTTCTGAGCTGTGCCTCTGGCAAAGCAGACCGGCGGGTAAAGTAGGAAAAAGCAGATGGGGGTGGAGGGGAGTGGAAAACGAGAAGAGAACATGGTATAGGGTGACCTGGGCCTTGCGTATGGTCCTGTGAGCATCTCCAGGAGCAGCTGGCGTGCTGCGGGTGTAGCTCAACCCTTACCCCTCACATCCCCCACAAAAGGGGAAAGAGAAAAACGAGGCAAGTAACACTGGAAATTTCAGAAACAACTCCTTCAATAAAAAGGTTGCCAGTTTTTTTCTCTTCTTTTTTGGGCCACACCTCAGGGGTTTTTCCTGGCTCTGTGGTCAGGAATTCCTCCTGGTGGTGCTCAGGAATCAAACGGAATGCCGGGGATCGAACCTGGGTCAACCATGTGCAAGGCAGATGCCCTCCCCGCTGAATTATCACTCCAGCCCAGACCCTCAGATTCTTGTACTTCAAAATGCCCCAAACCTTTTGATATTCCACAGACCAAGTCAATTTTGCAAAATCTTCATTAGCTACATACTTGCTAACCTAGGAATCAATGAACCCTCTGTAATAATTTCTAAAATCATATTTTTAGAGTTACTACAAGATTTAGAAATTATGCACTTATTTTCAACATGTGACATTCTTTTCATCCTTTATTTATTTATTTGCTTTTTGGGTCACACTTGGTGATGCTCAGGGGTTACTCCTGGCTCTGCACTCAGGTATTACTCCTGGCAGTGCTTGGGGAACCCCATGGGATGCCGGGGATCGAACCCAGGTCGGCCGCGTGCAAGGCAAACGCCCTACCTGGTGTGCTATCGCTCGGCTCCTTTATTTCATTTTTTAAAGTATGAGAAAGGGTTTAAATTTTTCACTTTAGACTTACTGAAAACTTTAAACTTTTATCATACTTTTATTTATTCTTTCCTAAACGTTATGAACCAATTCTTAAAAACAACAATGGCATCACTTTTAAGCGACCCAAAGGAGGGGAAACAGGTACATAAACTTATTACTGATTGGTTTTCTTATCATGGATACTGAAGTCCAACTGATTCAAAAAACATGTTTCAAAAACTCATCATAGGGCACATGACATTTCTGCCGATTGTTTAAATGTAATTGTTTTCTTCATAAAGCATGGCTTTTATGCAAATGCAACTTGTGCCTATGTTTAAAAATTGTGCCAAAACACTAGAAAAACTGCAGAGGGGAAAAGTGCCTGCAACAGGGGCAGGTGGGAAACTGGGGACACTGGAGGTCCGTCGACACGGAAGGAACTGGGGTAGGAACACTGGATGTGTAAAACGCAATCACAAATATCTCGGGAACTTAGTAATTCATAGTTGCACTGTAGCCCTGTCCTCCCATTTTTCATCGATTTGTTCCGGCGGGCACCAGTAACGTCTCCACTGTGAGACTTGTTACTGTTTTTTGGCATATCAAATATGCCACAGGGAGCTTGCCAGGCTCTGCCCTGCGGGCAGGATACTCTCGGAAGCTTGCCCAGCTCTCCGAGAGGGGCGGAGGAATTGAACCCGGGTCGGCTGCGTGCAAGGCAAACACCCTACCTGCTGTGCTACTGCTCCAGCCCAGTAATTCATGGTAATTAAAAAATAAATCATCCCAAGTCCAGATGATATAAATGATGCATTTAAGAGGCTGCCTTTGTCCCTGGGTTGACTCTGATTTCGTCCATAAAACGACAATACTGTTACTTGGTTCACTTTTGAGTCTCACTTTTGATTCTCGGTAGGATTCAGGCTCACAGGAAGAACATAATGACTGCCGGACACATTACATGGGAAGGTGTTAAGTACTATAGTCTTAGGAATTCTTCATTCTGTGGAATGGAAAAAAGGCTCTGGGATAGGGACGGGCTCAGTCGCACAGCACCAGTTGGCTGTGTGAAGCACCAGGATTAATTCCTGGCACAGGAAAGGAGAAGGGAAGGGAGGGAAGAGTGGAGAGGGGAGAGCAAGGGAGGAGAGGGGCGGTGAGAAGGAAGGGGAAGGGAGAGGAGGACAGGGAAGAGCACTTGTTCATCGTGAAGGGAATTTTGCTAGACAAAGACCCCAGAGAGCAGAGGCATTTTATGAAACACATGGATGAGGTGACTGCTACAATGCAGGCATCAAGAGAGGTCAGTCTAATCTAAATGATAATTAAAAAACCCACCTCATTACCTGGTTCTTTGGCAACCAGAACTACTTAAATGAAAAAGCAGATGCCAAAAAGACCAAAGAAATGATCAGACGGTTCTTTGGAGGAAAGGAGGAGGTAGTGCATTTAGGAGAAAAAGTAACTTCTCTGTGCAAAATCTATCCCGTCTATTTAAAGAAAATTTATATTAAACAGGAACTAAAATATGTAACACATCCCCATTAGACATCCACGGTGTCACTCATGTCCAAGGCGCAGTATCTTTGGTTGCTCAGGGTCACAACTCATCACAAAAACCCAGCTGACTTCTCTAAGGGACAAAGGGTATTTCTATTTTCCATACTGTAAGAAAAAGTCACCCAAAAAAGAGTAAGGCTGCAGAACAGCCTTCCTCAGTCCTCATGTCCATGTGGGTGCCCGGCCGGCCGCATGCAGGCCCGGCTCCGTCCTCTTGTGCCGTGAGTACTCGCACAAACAGTGCTCTCAGGGGCCCTGGGGACACTTCACAGCAAATAACAGAAGGTGCAGGAGAAAGTTTCACTGACATTTAATTAGCATAACCAAGTAAACAAAACACACTCAGGAAGGGAAGCCTCTCGCAGAGGCCCTGTGACTGTCGGGCAATGTCTCTGCATGGAAAGACCCCTGGGTTCTGAGAAACCCAGCACTGAAGATTTCTGGCTTATTTTCAGTCTGTAAGAACACACGTGTTCTGTTCTTTGGTTCCTGTACAGAAAAAAGCATATCCTATTCAAGGTAGCAAAATATATATATATAAGTCAACACAGTTCGCGTTCCTTCGTCCCTACCCTCTTACACGCTCACTCATTCAACTTCGCTCAGTGGACAGGAAACGCACCATATCCCCCTGCCTGGATGGGTGTTTTTGGAGAAGCACAAGCATAGAGACTGAAATCCTCCGTCTGGAAGCCAGCCCGATTCAAGGAGGGTTCTGATGCACTGCGGTGAATTTTTGGCAATGAGCGGGCCAGCAGCTCGATAGAGGCGAGAATCTAAAAAAGAAAAAGGAAGAAAAGAATGAAAATCTGGGTGGGAGAAATCTTTAAAAGCTTGCTGCATCAGACTATGGATCACGGAGGATTGAACTTGGGTGGGCCGCATGCAAGGCAAGCGCCCTGACCACCGTATTATCTCTTCAGCTCAAAACCCCAAAATTTTTCCTAAGAAGAAAAAGACTAGATTAGCACAGCTCTGACCTCTGTAAAATGGACGGGGGAAAGTAACCCATTGCTAACTTTTCTTTATATTTTAGATCACCTGATGGTTCTGGAACAGTAAATAATAATAATCAAAAAACTTTTAATTAAAAAAATTAGTAATTAAAAAAAATAAGCCAATCTAGACCTTTTCCTTACTGACCACAAGGCCCTTTTGGGAAGAAGAGGATGCATTTAAAAAAATAAGAAAGCAGTAATGCCACTGTGATCTCAGAAAGAGAAGGAACAGAGCAACTGACTGGTGAAGAGCCGGGAAGTGAGAAATGTCCTACACGCATAAGAGCAGGGGGCCAGTGACCTGGACTGCACAGGCCGAGAGGTGACAGGCGACAAGCCAGAGAGAGGCGTGGATTCCGAGAACCACAGAGATTCTGCTGAGGTGGCTCCTGAGGGTGGAGTCCAAGACGAGTCTAGGTGTGGGGTGTGCCCACCGGAGGGCACCTGCAGACTCACAAGGCTGCCCATCCGCTGTCCCATCTGCTGTCAAGACATGGCACCTCCTATTCTGCTAACCACAACTCCCTCCTTCTCTCATCTTTCTGGGTCACACTTGGCGATGCTCAGGGCTTCCTTTTGGCTCTGCACAAAGGAATTACTCCTGTTACTTGGGGGACCATATGGGGTGTCGGGGATCGAACCCAGGTTGGCCACCTGCGAGGCAGATGCCCTCCCCGCTGGACTATGGCTCCAGCCCCTAGCCACAACTTTCGACAGAAGCTGTGACCTGTGTATTACTGGAAGGCTGGTCATGCTTAGTATTAGCAGGACAGAGAAAGTGATGTAAACGTATTTCTAATTCCAGTCCTAACAGGCAAACATTCCAACAGTACCAATAGCTGCAGGCCAGACGCAGAATGAGGCTTCTAGCGCCCGCCTCGAGCTGATGTTAGTCTGGCTCCTCCTACACGCACAGGCACTGTGAAAGCAGCCCCCGGCCCTCGCCTCTCACTCTGGGCGCTGCTCTGCCCCGCGGCTTGCGTGCCCCCCGTCCCGACACCCGCCCGACTGTTACCCATTTTACTAGTCACAGTCAACATCCTCGGATTGAGCCCTGGCATCCTGCACGCAACGCATGTGCTTGACCTGGCTCCAGACCCAGCAGCTGGCTCCTTGGGGAGTCCGGTTCCGTAGTGGATTTCAAGCCGAGGGAATATGGAACATGCATGCGGATGCCCTTTGCATAGCTGGTCTCGAACTAAGACTAAAGCAGCCCTCATTCCTACCAGACCCGTTATGATTTTGAAAAAAAAATTCTTTTCCATGTTCTAGGGCTGTCTCTTATCCCGATACTACCAATCAGAGACAAGCAGGCAAAATGGTCTTTTCGGCTGTGTTATTTTATGTTTTACTGATTTTAATGCTTTGACCTAAGTTCAATCACTGCTTCTGTTTATTTGGGGGGGGGAATCACTGACAGGCTTTGCTTATTTCTTGTTGATTATCTCCTACTTACTGATTTGTAAGAGTCCCAGGTATGAGACAACTATTTACTCTTTGGTATATGTGCTATATTTATTTCCTGTGTTTCTCAATGTCATTTTAAATTTTGTTGTAATTGGTTTTTTTTTTTTTTTTTTTGCTTTTTGGGTCACATCCGGTGATGTTCAGGGGTTACTCCTGGTTCTGCATTACTCCTGGAGATGCTCAGGGGACCATACGGGATACTGGGAATCAAACCCGGGTTGGCTGCGTGCAAGGCAAAGGCCCTACCCACTGTGCTATCACTCCAGCCCCTGATTTTTGTTTTTGGGCCACACAGCAGTGCTGAGGGCTCACTCCTGGCTCTACGCTCTGGGATCATTCCTGGCATTGCTTGAGGGACCGTTTGGGATGTCAAAGATCGAACCCAGTCAGTCTTGGGTTGGCTGTGTGCAAGGCAAGCGTCCTACCCACTATCCTATTGCTGCTAGAATTATTTTGGGGGTTGCAGTTATTCCTGGCAGTGCTGTGGCCATATGTGGTGCTGGGCGAGCGGCTTAGCTGCTGCACTCATCTTTCCATCTCCTTGGTGCTGTTTTTACCACAAGAAAGTTATAAACTTTTATCATGATTACAGGTGCTAACCCTTTTCTTTATATAAAGCTCCAATATCCCCCCTTTTTGGGGGGAAGACTTTCATACCTCAAGGCTATAAAACATGGTTTGTTATCTAATATTTTGTCTTTCTGGAGTGGGAGGCATACCCAGCAGTGTTCTGGAAACATGTGCTGCCCTGATTGAACCCAGGACCCTCAGAATACAAGGCCTGGGCCTGGCCCTTCAGCTGTTTCTCTGGCCTTGATTTCACATAATGTGGTTTTGTTTTTTTACAAATAACTCTTTTATAGAGGGGTGATGTTTGGGCCATACTCGCTACACTCAGGGGGCTACCCTGGTGGTGGGGGGAGAGGGAGAGGGAGAGAGGAAGGAAGGGAGGGAGGGAGAGGGAGAGGAGGTCCTGTAATGTGAATTTCAATAACCCTTCAGGGGCTGGAGGGACAGAACACTGGGCAGGGCATCTGCCCTTGCCTGTAGCTGACCCAGTTTGATCCTGGCACCCCATGTGGTCCCATGAATCCACCAGGAATTAATCCCAGGAATTAATCCTTGAGCACATAACCAAAAGTAAGCCAAATGTGAGCACCACTGGGTGTGGCCCCCCAAACTGAAATAAGTAAAATAAGACAATACTTGAAAGGGGACAGCACTACTCAGTCATCTGGAAAATTCATCTAGGAATTCCATTTTCTGATACCATGCAATGAATAAATGTGACTTATCCTCAGAAGTATGAATCTTGTGTCCCTTACAGCACTGCTTAAAAAGCAGACCTGGGGCTGGAGAGAGCACAGTGGGAAGGATTTGACAACCAGAGCCACACATGTCCCCTAAGTGTGGTCAGGTGCAAGCCCTTAGTGCAGCTGTGTGTGACCTAAAAACCAAAGAAAAAAAGGCAGATCTTGGGGGTTGGGTGGGGGCAGTGAGACAGTACAGCGGCCACTGCACTTGCCTTGCGCACAGCTGACCTGGGTTCAATCCCTGGCAGCCCAAATGCTGCGCCCCACCCCCTTCCCAACAGGAACGATTCCTGAACAAAGAACCAGGAGCATCCCATATAGTCTCCCTAGCCAGGAATAACCAAAGCCAGGAATAACCTCTGAGCATTGCTGGGTGTGACCCAAAAAGTCAGAAAACAAACAACAAGAATAGAAATAAACCCTTAGTACTGCCTGATGAAGCTGACGCCCACCCCCATCAAAAAAACAAAAACAAAAACAGGCTATAATTTACATGTGAAAATAGGGTACCCAGTAAGTACCTGGGATATGAAAAGAGAAGGAGGTTCTGCTGATCTTTTACTCTGATCTGATTTTGATTATTTAAAAGTATTGGTTTTCACAAGCTGCAGAGATGGCTCTGGACCCCAAAGTCACCATCCAGTGAAAAATTTAATTCCAGCTGTATCACCTTATTTAAACTTTTAGAATTCCCGGAGCGACATCTCATACTCTATGCCAATGATGTGCCAAGAGTAGCACACCACATTTGATGAGGTGTAAAACAGAAGGCAACCAATCTCGATAAATAAAAAAATAAATAAATAAACAAATAAAATTTTTGCACAAGGCTCAACCTGTAACAACACATTAGTAATCTTTTGTACAAGGGCTTAATCACTCTAGGGTGAGATACAACAATCTTCACACAGTTTCCTTAAAGGAAACTTTTTTGGATCATTTTTAGTGGATTATTCATAACAAGCAATACAAAACATATTATGTAGGGGCAGGCTTTGGTGGTGGGTGGTGGGAATATTCGAAATAATGGTGATAAGAAGGTTATCACCTTCTGGAGTGGGAGGCATACCCAGCAGTGTTCTGGAAACATGTGCTGCCCTGATTGAACCCAGGACCCTCAGAATACAAGGCCTGGGCCTGGCCCTTCAGCTGTTTCTCTGGCCTTGATTTCACATAATGTGGTTTTGTTTTTTTACAAATAACTCTTTTATAGAGGGGTGATGTTTGGGCTACACTCGCTACACTCAGGGGGCTACTCTGGTGGTGGGGGGAGAGGGAGAGGGAGAGAGGAAGGAAGGGAGGGAGGGAGAGGGAGAGGAGGTCCTGTAATGTGGTGGGACCGGTGTTGTAATATTGAATGTAACATATTATTGTGAACAACTTTATAAAAATAAAAATTTAAAAAGAAAAAAAAAGTATTGGCTTTCTGGGTTTGAAAATAAAATAATGCTTCTTCAAACAACAGTAGCTTAGAATCACAGCCAAAGGCTATACTCACTCACCCAACAGTCTCGCCTTCCTGTTGAGAAAGTCCCTTAAAGACTTAGGAAAAACATCAATTGCACCTTTTTTTGTTTGTTTTTGGGCTACACCTGGCGCTGCACTCAGGGATCACTTCTGGTGGTGCTCACGGGACATATGGGATGCCAGAGAACCGTAAGGCAACTGCCCCTACCACTGTATTATAGCTTGGTCCCCACCATTTACATCTTTGGTTCTTTTTTTGGCTTTTGGGCCATACCTGGTGGTACCTAGTGTTTACTCCTGGCTCTGCACTCGGAGATCACACCTGGCAATCTCTGGGGACCATATGGGGTGCCAGGACTTGAACCTGGGTCAGCAGCGTGGAAGGCAATTCCCTGCCCATTCTCTGGTTCCTCCATCACTAGTTCTTTAGATGTAATAAGTGTCACTCACTCCTTCATGGCACAGCCTCCACACGCACAGCACCCCCAGCCCTGGGATCCAAAGGCAGTTTGTTTGGGAAATAGATTTTTCATCAAGATGCTATTTAAAAGTAGGTTTATATTTATTTATTTATAAAGTAGGTTTATATTTAAACAAGTTTATCAATAGGTATCTTTCTTACTTTCTAAAATGATAATTATTTGTGAAACACCCCACCTGGTCAGGAGAATTTCTGTGATGACTGTGCAAAAGTGTGGAATGTGCCAGAATGGTGAGATGGAGTATTCTCTGCAGTGGGCTTGGGATCCAGTGGGATCCACTGTTATACGATGCTCCCTAGGTTTAACCACCGGGGGTCTGTGAGAGATGGGCCGTGCTGGGGGCCAGGGCACCTGCTCACCTGGGGGAAGAGTGGCCTCTCCTCTCTCTTCTTCTTCAGGCACTCGGCCATCAACCTCTTCATGGCTTTCGGACAGTTACTCCGTACCTTACTGAGATCTGGCGACAGATAGCCTCGACCCACCATAAAGATGATCTGAGGAGGAAACAAAAGGCAGATCATGCAACCTTTGAGTTAAGCAGGAAAATACATCAATAATGAAAATGCAATGCACCATGTACTTACGACACGCCTACTTTTCTGCGGTGGCCCCCACATGAGTAAGAAGTTAAGGAGCCCCCAGTGCCTGGAGTCCTATCCATGGAAGGTAGGGACCTGGCAGACGCTTAGGGGCCACGAGCCGAAGTCCTCCTGGCTCCTGCACTACTGCCCAGCCTCCCACTGCCCTCTCTAGGGCATTTCCCACAGAAAGGGGATGCTACATGACAGATTAAATCTGGTCTCTTCAGCTTAAAAAATGTTGTACATAGCACTTACTGAATATTGATAATCTACAATCTATTGTAGCAGTAATCAAAGAGTTCTTAGCCTTTTTAGCAGCTGTCTCGGCATTTGCATTCCTTATTTTTCTCTTTTGGTTATAGGGTTACACACCTAGATGTGTTCAGGGGTCACTTCTGGTTGGGTTTGGAGGACCACAGATGTGCCAGGGATCAAACCCAGGTTGGCCATGTGCAAGGCAAGTGTCCTATCTGCTGTACAATCTCTCCATGCCCTTTATAAAAACTTCTTATCACTAAGACTAAAACTACTCAATAAAAATGAGTGGGGATAAACTGCCTCTGGGCACTGTCTATGCTCATTAATGGCCAAGATCCAGAGACTCACAAATAAATCTTGGAAGAGAGCGAAAGCTGCAGAGATACCTCCACACCTCGGGCCAGGCTAAGCTCATCCAGGGCACCCAGAGGCGGGCAGATGAGTCCCACCACCCGTCCCAACAGGGCCCTGGCAGCAAAAACCTCCAGAACCCAATGGCTGCCATGCTCATGACTTAGCTCCACAGGCTCAGGACAACTGCCCCTCCCCCACATGAGAACGAATCTGCTGAAAACTCAGGTATGCAGTTTTTCTGACGGAAATCTCCAAGCTCGCACGGAGACCTCCACCCATACCCATTCTTCCAGGAGCCTGGCAGTCATGCCCATGAACTGCCTCTCATATAAACTCACTGACAGCCATGTTCCAGACTCACAAATAGGTCGCGGAAGAGAGCCACAAGCTGCAGAGATGCCTCCTGACCCCAAAATAACCATCCGGTTAAAAATTTAATTCCAGATGTTTCATTCTATTTAAGATTTTAGAATTCCTGGAGCGACATTTCATACTTTATGCCAATGATGTACCAAGAGTAGCACACCACATCTGATGGGATGTAAAGTAGAGGCAACCAATCTCGATTAAAAACAAGCAAACAAAACAACTCCACCCCCCATATATATGTATGTGTGTGTGCGCGTGTGCGTGTGTGTGCGTTTATTAGCATAGGATGCTCAACCTATAACAATATTAGTAATCTCTTATACAAGGGCTTAATGGGTCCAAGGTGAGATACAAAAATCTTCCTACGTCTTCCTCTAAGGAAACTTTTTTGGATCAGTTTTAGCAGATTACTCTTAATAAGCAATACAAAATAAATTATTTAGGACCTGCCTTTGGGGCAGGCTTGGGTGGTGGTGGGAAAATTCATAATACTGGTGGTGGTAAGGTGTAATGGTGGTGGGCTTGGTGTTGAAATACTGAATGTAATCAATTATTGTGAACAACCTTATAAAAATAAAACAAACAAGCAAACACTGTCCTCCCGTTGTTCATTGATTTGCTCGAGCGGCCCCAGTAATGTCTCCATTTTGAGTCTTGTTACTGTGTTTGGCATATTGAATACGTCACCGTGCGGGTGAGATACTCTCGGTAGCTTGCCAGACTCTCCGAGAGGAGTGGAGGAATCGAACCCGGCTCGGCTGGGCTGGCTGTGTGCAAGGCAAATGCCCTACCGCTGTGCTATCACTCCAGCCCATCACCTTCTTAGCACAGTAGGCAGCGTCAGTCTCATAAAAATAAAAATAAATTTAAAAAAATGAGTGGGCAAAAAATTAAAGTACTAAGCTAAAATGTCCAAGTAACTTCTCCAGAGAAATACCAAGTGCTGGAGGAGCGACCGGGGGACTGAGCACCAGTGGTGGGTGGGTCAGTGAGTCTGCAGAGGGCAGCGTGCACCAGGCCTGCAGACTGCCCCCATCTAAGCCCACTGATCCCGTGGTGAGCTACATTCGTCCAGCATAGACAGTGCTTTAATCGTGTTCTTTAGCTCCGTTTTGCTTCATTCTACAGATACATTTTTGTTGCCATTTTTGGGCCACACCTGTCGGTGCCAAGGTCTTACCCCTGGCTCTGCAACCAGGGATCACTCCTGGCAGTGCTCAGAGGGCAATACGGGATGCTGAGGATCAAACCTGGGTCGGCCACCTGCAGGGCAAGCACCTTACCTGCTTACTCTCTCTCTAGCCCCTGCTGCTATATTTTTTGCAGGCTTAAAATATCAGATTATCGGGCTGAAGAGATATATTTCAAGATCCACGTGTTGCTGTATCAAAACTGTGCCACAGATTTCTAAAACAGATCGCCAATATCAAGATCCATAACCTTTATGCTGGCCCAGAGCCTAATGCTTCTTTATTCACAGCTGGAGGTGTTATACAAATAGTGAAATAAAGCCCAAGGTTAACAATTACCTGATCTCTGTTGTTGATGTTTGAGTAAGGTAACTGCCCAGTCATCAGTTCATACAGAACAATTCCAAAAGCATATACATCTGACTGAAAACTATATGGGTTTTTATCTTGCATTCTGATCACTTCTGGTGCCTGTTAGAACAAAAAAGAGAAATATTCTAGTTGCTTCTTCATCCCACTGAATAAAGACTTCAAAATAAATTATTACCACTTCCAGAGAAATGTTTTTCATCGTTAATCCACCTAGTATGTAATCCGTTCTTTTATTAAAGCCCAAGATTAAAAGAGAAAACCCTGTAAACACTAACGCATTACTAAGATTTTTATCGTTTTACAAGTCACCTTTCTCTATACAAAACACCACCTGAATTCTTATTAAGATTGATTACTCTGTCAAGTAAGAACCAGTTCCTGCCTGCCACTCCTGATGCAGAGAAACGCTGGAATGTGGTTACCTTTGCAAATGGCAATCACTATGGGAATGGCCTCAGAATTTATGTTTTCCCCTTGGTATAGATAAATCTCATCTGGCACCTAAGACAATAGCGGTTAACATCTGAAAATGAATAAACTAATTTTCTTTCTCCAAAAGCAATATAAACATGCTTCCACCATTTATAAACACAAGCAAGAGACAGCACATGGATTAATCAGAAGATAGTAAAAAGTACCCTCTGCTGAGGCTTGGCAGAGCCTATGCCCTATTCCACGTTTGCACATTTCCACTGCCATATTCACGAAATCTACTACATCTAATAAATGGTTGGTTAAGTGTCAGAATCCAAGTTTTCTTCTTTCACCTCCTCTCTTCTATAACGCTTCAATTGTAAGAAATTAGAGAAATCGCAAGATACTAATAAAAACGCTGTCAAACCAAGAATAATTTGATACCAAAAGGATTGCCCATGCAAACATGGCTGGAGGGCCTGCAAGAAGACTCCTGCAACTGGTGAGGGCAGCATCTGTCAGCAGGCAGGGAAGGGCGGCCTCTGCCTCTCCACACCTGGACATTCAGTAGAGCGTGCGAGACTGGGGTTGGGACCCGAGAGCTGTCACTGGGAAGGCTCCCCCGAGGACTGCAATGTCAAACCCCGCTGAGATGCTGGGGGCACCGCTGGCGGGCTCTGGTCAGGCCCTGTGCAGTGCACGCAGAGTTTTCAAAGCCTGAGCACCCTCTCTGTGAGGGCCCAGGTAACTGTGTTCCCTCACTCTTGTCGGCAGATCGCTGGAGGGAATCCTGTTTCATCCACTTATAGAACTGCAGGAATGACCCTCAGTGGTCTTATACAAAAGTCTCCACATAGAGGTCTCCTCCTCTAAGATATAGATAAAACCAGGCTGAGAGCCTATACTAAACAATTCAGGGGTGGAGAGATGATAGTACAGCGGGTGGGTAGGGTCTTTGCCTTTGGTGATGCGGGTTTGATCCCTGGCACTCTGTATGGTCATCTCAGCACCGCCACGAGAGATTCCTAAGCATCTCCGGAAGTGGCCCCAAACAGAAACAAACAAAAATTCAGATGGTCACATAACAGTAGATCAGGCAGGTTCTTGTCTCCTAGCTTACAAAGGTTCTACTGTTTCTGAGAAACTTATTCAACAATCAAGGGCCCCACCCGCTACTCCTTGTTCTGAAACAAGGGATGCCACAAAGCAGGCACCAGTTAAAAACTAGGAAATAATGTAGAGTTTCTTGCTGATAATAATAAGCTTCTATATATATTAAGTGTTTGAAAAACTACAAGGCTGGCAACATGACTGGGCCTAACTTTCCCACACTAATTAAATGCACTTTTCAAACATGAATCCATTTTTTTCTTTGCAACTTAGGTACTGCAGAAGAAAAAAAAATTTAGATTTTTAAAATTCCATCACTTTAATTCGATTCCCTTTTCTTAGGCTGCACTGCATTTTCACTACGAAGTGGGGGCCCTAAAGGCGCTGAGATGCGGATTCCGAGGCTTAGTCCTGGGCCCACAATGACTGTTTCAATAGTTACAATACACATAAAAGGAAAGATCTAGCCAGTGCAGGTGAGAATTAACCAGGCACTCAAGGGGGACACCCCGCCCCTCTTCTCCCCACCCCCAACTGCCCCCTCGCCCTAATCCACTCATTGCCAGGAAAAGCAGAGATGAAGCTTCCTCCAGGTTTCTCTTATCTGACTAAGGATGCTGCTGTGAAATGCCCCTGGGGACGCCGCAGACAGGGTTGCCAAGGCTGGTAACTGGGCGCCAAGGGCCCGGGCAGCTTTCCCACTGCCTCTCGGAAGGCTGAGTGCAGACCAGCCAAAGCGCTGGCGTGGCCTCGCCCTCTTGAGGCAGCTTGCAAATGCTTTGGTCTCAGCGACTCTTTCAGTCTTAAAATTGACCGAGGCACCTGAGTCATTTTTGGCGGCTGGGCGGGCCTACCCAGCTATGCTCAGGTCTTATTTCCCGATCATTCCTGGCAGACTGGGGGGATGGTATGCAGTGTTGGGGATCGAACCCAGGGATGGAATCCGGGTCAGCCATGTGCAAGGCAAATACCTTCCCCACTATTCTATTGCTCCAGCCCTGGTCTCTAATATTTTAAATGTTATAAGCTGTTGGGTGTTAGTGAAGACACATCCACCCTTCCTTTTTAAATGAAAAGCAATTATTCTCAAAAAGAAAAACTGAGAGGAGGGGACTGCCTCTAGCTGCTGGGGTCACAGCAACAGCCCATGTCACCTGCTGATGGGGTGGCAAGTGCCAGCTCTGGGGGCACACGCCAGGACAAGGGCTTGCTGGAGCAGGGTGGGGCCGAGGGTGGCTGCCTTCCCACTTCCCCACCATCTCGGTCCTGCAGGACTCTGTGCAGACTGCCCTACCCCACCCCTCCTTCCTCTCTTGGCTGCTCCCCAATTACACGGTTCTTTTTGTGTCTCTGAGGAGACCAGCGTGAAATAGCCTTTCTCTCTATAAGCTGCTAATACCAAACAGGTTTGTGGAAGCAGGCTATTTTAAATATGCGAGACGTGTGTGTGTGGGGGGGGGGGGGAGAGGGGGCCACACCTGGTGATGCTCAGGGTTTCCACCTGGTTCTGCACCCAGAGCTCACTCCTGGCAGGCTTGGGGGACCATATGGGATGCCAGGGATCGAAGCTGGGTCGACCGCATACAAGGCAAGTGCTTTACCTGCTGTACTACCTCCCGGACCCCAGAATACTCAAGACTTTAAGGAGATAATTCAGAACCAAATTTAAACCATGTTTATAAACATGGAGTAATAGCACAGCGGGTAAGGTGTTTGCCTTGCACGAGGTCAACATGGTTCAATACTTCCGCCCGGCTAGCTACCAAGAGTATCTCGTCCGCATGGCAAAGCCTGGCAAGCTACCCTTGACGTATTTCAATATGCCAATAACAGTAACAACAAGTGTCACAATTTGTTGTGAGATGTTACTGGGGCCTGCTCGAGCAAATCGATGAACAATGGGAGGACAGTGCTACAGTTTAAAAAACACGTATGTGTGCTGAAGTAGACTGGTCTCCCAGTATTTTTCAAGATAGAGAAAAACGTTTGCAGCTACTTACATTTCAAACACAAAACCTGATACACCTTAATGCTGACTCTGTGAATACCAAGAAAGCAGTGAGTGCGGCCGAGACCTTCGACTCCTTTCTCATCCCTCATCTCAGAAAATCCCAAACGTTAGTGGAGTGATCGGCTCGATTCTTACCATCCACAAAATGGATCCAGATAACTGTTCAAACTGATGGGAGCCACTCCACCGAGATTTCACTGTGGCGAGGCCAAAATCACCTATTTTCACTGTGAGGTCTTCATGAAGAAAAATATCTGAGGTGTAGCAGGTAAAGGAGAACCACGGATGCCATATTCCTATCTAGAGCGAGGGGTATGAAAAATCTCAGGCGAGAGGGTCAACGGCGAGAGACCACTCTTCACCTGCGTCGTACTTCACAGTCCCTATTCCCTTCACGATCCGCTCACGGGAGAAAAAAGAAGACATGTCTGAAGGATGAAGAGGCTGATTTGGAGTGTGGGACCCGAGGCAGGAGGGAGAACGAGGGTCTTGCCCAAATGCCTGGGAGGCCCTGGACCGTCTCCTGCCATGCCGGAGAGCTGGACTGGCAACTCTCTGCAACAGGACACAGAGCCGGGCTCTGCAACAGGACACGGAGGGACGGAAAACGAGCTTTGCTCGTTTCCCCTCAGGGTTATGTGACTGCAGCTGCGGCGAGATCTCAACGGCTCAGAACCAGAGTGAGGCTCATCTGAAATAAGGTGGTAGACAGCTGCGACACCCGGCCAAGTGGTCGGGCATCAGGCAGTGTCAGGAAAGCCCTACTTCCGCAAACACTTGAGAAGGGCGTGCAGAAACCCAAAGGCTGGAATGCCTCGCTCCACTAAATTTGCATGCAGTATCCTTGCAGCATACTGAACTTTGCCAGAAAATTCATTTTATGTTATGTGAAGACAAAAATACACAAGAACAAGTCAGGGTGTTTTCAAAGTTTCTGGATGAATTTCAGGAAGGATACTATTACTCTTGAGGTCTCTGTGGATGATTGACTTGGCGTGTAAATAACTGAAAAACAAAACATCATTTTTAACCTGGAAGTGCTGAGAACAAGGACTACAGAACATATTTTGAGTATAAATAAACACATAGGATCATGATATAACTGCAACTATACATTGCGATAAAGGCTTTAGATAAGAAATATTAAAATAAGTTACAATCTTGTTTGAAAAAACTTCGCTTATTTTTTTTTTACCATTTACCAATACAAACCTTTGATTCTAATCCTTTATCGTATAAAACATACCTTGATATTTAATTAGACCTCTGAATTCTCCACTTATTCACACTCACCTTTACAACAGAACACAGATCTTAATTCCAGAGTGAAGTTTTCCTAAGCCTAACTCAACAGAAGTTAACTTTCCCTGTTAAAGCTTTTGCTATAATGGCGACAATGATGGCTTTCAATAAATTTTTTTGGAGGGGCCCACATCTGCCTGTGCCCCTCGAAGGTCTCGGGGGGCGCATGCAGTGCTAGGAAATGATCCCAGGTCAGCTGCGTGTCTTATGCACTGTACCATCTCTCTGGCTCCTTTAATGAATCATATGTTTAAGTCAACTATCTTATCCCCGAAAACTGGTTAGCTGAGTACATGGGGGGAAGGGTTATGTCTAATTTATTTCAATTCAAATTCTATTTAAATTCTAATTAAATACTAGGCATGAGGTTGGTAACTATATACATTTCATTTTTTAAATAAAAACGTGTTTTTCTTTTCTTTATTCTTAGATTTTTTAAAAAAGCTAAACTCATTAAAATTTTAATCAAATGATAATTATTTTCAATGTTCCACTTTATATGCATTTAAATTAAAAAAAATTAGGCACTATGGTTTACAAAACTCTTCACGGCAGTTTCCTGCATAAAATATTCCAGCAACACACCCTCCCCAAGTGTCAGCTCCCCTCCACCATGTCCCTGTGTCCCCCTTCCCCCCCACCTCCTGCCACGGTAAGCCTCCTTGTGAGGAATAGTTCTTATTTCTGTTGCCTTTGGGCACCAGGATCATACCACATGGTGCAGGGGGAGGAGGGAGACGCTCTCTTCTCCCGGAAGCAATAAAAAATAGGCTCTGGGGGGCCAGAGTAATAGTTCAACAGGTAGGATGCTTGCTTTGCACACGACCTACCTGGATTTGATCACTGACATCCCATATAGTCCCCTGAGCACTGCCAGGAGTGATTCCTGAGTGAAGAGCCAGGAGTAACCTATAAACAACACTGGGTGTGACCACCCTTCCACCAAATTAATTAAAAAATAAGCTTTGAAAAAAAGAAGTGCATATGCTGCCCGGGTCAGGCCCACGTGCTGCTTGTGCCCACATGGCCGAGCACACGTGGCGCTCACATCTCCCCTCTTGAGATGTGGACTTCCATGCTTTCGTGTCTAATGCCAGGATGTGTGTAGGAGCTCTCTCCGCCCTTGGAGAAGCCCGTGCTCTCTCGTGTGCGTTTCTCTCTCTCTCTCTCTCTCTCTCTCTCACTCTCTCCCCTCCATACCTTAAAAATCCTTCAAATAAAATCTATTTATTTAAAAAAAATATAAGCTTTGGATGAGCCTTTTGTCAGAAAATGTATTACATAAACATTTTCTCTGAGTCTGGAACTTATTACTACTAATTTAATTCTGGGGCCAGACCCGGCAGTGTGTAGGGCTTACTCCTGGCTCTGTGCTCAGGGATCACTCCTAACAGGGGTCAGAAGACCATACAGGGTGCTGGAGGTTGAAGCCAGGCTGACCATGACAAGGCACCACCACCCTTTGTAGTTGCAGTTTTCATAGAGCTTTCATAACCTTGTGCTTCTTTGTGAGGCAGGCAAAACGCAGTTAGCTCTGGGTTGGAGAGAGTACAGAGGGTAGGGTGCTTGCTTTGGCCCCCTATATGGTATCCTGAGTGTCCCCCCCCCCCCCCCCCCATCCCCTGCCCCGGAGTGATCCCTGTGCTCAGAGCCAGGAGTAAATCCTAGGCACAGCTGCTCCCAAACAACAACCTCCCCCCCCCCTGCCCCGACCCCTAAAAAGAAGTAATTCCAGTTCTGTCCATGGAAGAGTCTGGAGCCCAGAGCACCTCCGTGATATGATCAGAGACACAGCAGGTAAGGGCATTGCTTTTGAGCACTGAATTGGCTTGAAGTGTTACAAAGATGTTTCCTCTAACCACGTAACTTGCTTACTACTGCATACATTCTCTAAGCTTTGGATTCACGGCCCATAGTATGAGGCCTTCCCTTCATTTCCTACATGTTCGTGGAAAGCTCCCAATACGTCGTCATCAACTGCATTCTGAAGTCCCATCCCCAGGCAGGAGGGCGGCTCTGAAGGCAGAACTGGTGAACACTCAGAGGCAAGGGAGGGATGCAAGGCCAGTGAGAACCTGCGAGAGGCTAGCAAGAGCACAGCCCGCGTTCCCGTGCGAGCAAGAGTGCCAGAGACATTGCTGAGATGTGAGCTGGAGGATGCCTGTTCTCTCTGGGGGATGTGCACATTGCAGGAGCGGAGGAATGAGAGTCATTGAACCTAAAGCATGGATGGCTCTGACTGCCCTTTCTCCTTTCTGCTGTCAGTGTGTGCTCAGCTGAGCAACACTCGGGCCTACCCTGCCCTGGAGGAGGATGACTCTGGGGCAGGCTCAGAAGCTGCTGCCTAGTGAAGGAGGGGCTAGGGACAGAACCTAGGTGAGCGTGAAGGGCGGCTTGAGTCAGGACACAGGACAGCAGGCGACGATTCTAGGCGGGGCTGGAGAGACAGTGCAGAGGGCTCAGGATGTTTGCCTAGCACGTGGCTGACCCCGGTTCAATAGCTGACACCACCTGGTTCCCAGAGCACTCCCCAGCCAAGCTCCTGAGTACCACAGGGGTAGCCCCTAAACCAGAAACAAACAGTGAAGGTTGATACATATATTTGTTTTGGGGGCCATGTCTGATGATATTCTGGGCCAAGGACCAAATTCGGATTGGCTGCGAGCAAGGCAAGAGCCCTACCCACTGTCCTCTCTCCCTCTAGATATACCTGAGCAACAGCCCGAACAGTTGTTGGGAATAAATTGGTTACAGGTTGTGGGGATAAGGGAGAGAACTAGAAGATAATGAGGAAACACGAAACATAAGCAGCTGGAAGAACAGAGCTGTCAGTTCCTGGGATGGAAACCTAAGAGCCGCCCTGAAGGGAGGCCCAGGCGCTCTGCTTAACCATGCTCGGATGTGCGGCCCCGTCAGATGAGCAGACGGCCCTGACACCCTGGAGTCTGGAGGAAATCAATTGGCTGGCGCCTGGCATAGAAATTCTAATTAAATGGGGCTTAGAGTCACAAATTGGGATGAGATCAGCAAGGGGGTGGAAGTAGCCAGGGTAGTCCGACCTTTGGAAAGGTCAGGGAGCGGAGAAGCGGCAGCTAATGGGCAAAAGTGAACCAGGGGAACGTGCTTCTCAAGAAATTGGCTTTTTATTAACTTACATCCCAGCCAAGCTGCAAAAGAGAACGAGAATCTAACAGGTCTGGGCGGGGGTGGGGGTGGGGGGAGGCGGGTTTACCAAAAATCTTCTCTTTCTGAAAGTGCTCCTTGGGGCTGGAGGGATAGCACAGCGGCTAGGACGTTTGCCTTGCATGCCGCTGACCTGGGTTCGATTCCCTGCATCCCATATGGTCCCCTGAGCACTGCCAGGAGGAATTCCTGAGTGAAGAGCCAGGAGTAACCCATGTGCATAGCTGGGTGTGACCCAAAAAGAAAAAAAAAAAGTGCTCCTTAGAGCATAGCTTTCCTTCAGTGCCTGGGGACCAGGCGGTGCTGGCTGACACCGGGGCAGGGTCCCTCACACAAAGCCCACTCTCCAGCCCTTGAGAACCATCTTAAATAGCAGGGGCCTCAAGAGGGGTTTCACGAATGGGGGGGTGATCAGCTTTTGTTTCTGGCAGTCAGAGGACTGAGAATTTAACCACTGGGGCGGGCCAACATCCAGGCAGCTGAGGTTTCTGTGGAAGTCTGATTAGAATGGCGGAGTCTTGGTGGAGGGACGGAGAGTGACGGCCAGTGACTCCTCTGAGAAATTTTACTCCAAGGAAGAGCTGTGTGGTGATGGCATGGGAGAGCAGAGGGCTCCAAAAAGGACCCTCCTGTGGGGCGGAGAGACATATAGGAGGTAAGAGACAGTCCAGGATCCCTGCATGCAAAGGATCCTCTTTTGAACCCCTGGGAGGGAGACAGTGGGGAAAGAGTAAGGGTGGGTTGTGGGGTGGGTGGGAGGTTCAGATTGGAGCCTGCTGAGTGTAGCAACCAGGTGGGCACGGAGGGCAGCACCCACCGGGGGATGAAGTGCTGGGGAGTGCTGGGGACCAAACTCAAGCACCAGTGTACAAAGCCTGGGCTCAGGGTTGGAGAGAGCTCAGTGTTAGTGCTTGCCCCGCATTCGGCTGACCATGGTGTGATTGTTAGCATTGCACGAAGTCCCTTGAAGAATGACAGGAATGGGCATGCTGCCCACCCCGTCACTTCCCCCTGAAATACAGAGAATGCTCTCAGCTCACGAAGCTCTCTCTCCAGTCCTGCACTGCCTCTTCATTACGAGAAAGGAGCAAGAATTGTTGAAATAGTAGGATAAGCACTCAGTCCCTCTACCTACAGTCACAACTGTCAACTTTCTGCCAAGTGTGTATTTTAAGAACGATGTTTCAGGGTCTGGAGCAATAGTATAGGGGGTAGGGTGCTTGTCTTGCATGTGGCCAACCTAGGTTTGATTCCCAGCACCCTATATGGTCCCCGGACTGTAGAGTCAGGAGTTAAGTCCTGAGCACTACTGGGTATGGCCCAAAGAAGCAAACACGTGAATGATGATGATCTCTGTGAGGTGGCACTCGATTTCAGAGAGCCACAGAACCGACCAACTAGCAGACACGGCGGGGCCCAGGACTGAGTGCTCGCCTAGTACGCACCAGACCTGGGCTGGGCCCCTCCCCCAGCAACGCAAATGTTTGGAGAGACAATAAGCTCTAAAATAAGATGTTTAG